AGATAAAATTCAGTTGACTTTTTATATTAACATTTGAAATCTAAAAATTTTAATTTTATTAAAATAGCAATGAAAAAATTAGTATTTCAAATTTTCTATTTCAATATTCTAAAACAAAATTTAAAAGTAAATGCTGAAAAAAATGAAAATTTTGGATTATTATTTATTTTACTGGGTAATGATCTGAAGCATAATGCCTAAGCATAAAACATTAACTCAAGCAAAATCATGCATGCTTGAGTTAGTGTAAGAAAATTGTCACCCTGCAATTGCTCCAATATATTACATGCAGTTTTAAATCCAAAATCCAATGCAGTTACAATAAATGCATTTTCTAATCACTGGATATTTTAGAATAGTCTAGTAATTAAAAATCTTTGATATCATTTTGCAAAATCAATCATTCCTGAAAACAAAACTGCAAATCAAAATGAACTTAAACTTTGTGAAAAGTTAATTCATTCAAAATTGAAAAATTTAAAAATTACAACTCAGCAAAAAAAAGATGTATTGTAAAATTAAATATTAGTTTTCATATTTTATTTATATGTTTGATCTTAAGCAATATATAATTATCCAAGAAAGCTGAAATTTTATAAATTATTATTAAAAAAAGTCATTTATACATCATCTTAAACATTTCAAACTAAATTTTATTTTAAACATCAAAAACAAATATCAAAATAATGTTTTATATTTATTATGACAAAATTAAAATTTTGTGATATATAACTGTATAATGAATTATACAGTTAGATATGTAAGAAATTCCATCCATCTATATAATAAATCCTACTACTAAAATTATGCATTTTGGTAACATGTTAAAGTTAATATGGTTGCATATATTATCAATATTATCAAATATGAATTCAATATATTATTATACAAATTGAATTACTTATAATTTTGCATATTTTATAAACATTTATTGTAATACTACAAAGTTTCAAAACAGTAATAAAACATCTAATAATTAAGTATTCAATCTTTTGCATTGTTTCTATCTTGATAAATCGCTCAATAATTTTTTAAAGCTCTTTTTTTATATTACTAGTAATAAAGGTAGCTGGCATTGCCCAGGAAATTTGATATCATATCCTTGACATAATAAAATAGTTGAAAAAAATAAAAGTTAACAACATAAACAATCCAATACACTTGTAGCACCAGATGATTCATTGCATTTTTATCAGGCTATATTAAGGCTAGCTTTAATATAGCTTGATAAAAACACCCAGCCTATAGTAATAAAAAATATGGCAAATTGTTTGATAGCCTTATATAGCCTAATAAAAAAATCTGGCAAATCATTTGGTTAAAAAACTGTAGTAAAAAATAATTTTTATTTTAAAACAGATGGATACAAAATGCTTTTAGTTTTGAAACCAGTACAAAGATATACAAATTGTCTCAATCAGTCTGTTAACTAACCACAAACTTGTATTTTCTTCTTTTTGGAGAATTTTTTATTCTTTTTTCAGATTTCTGCTTTCATATATCTTTTCCATCTCACTGGGAAAATTTTAACTGCAACATTTGAATTTCATTTACAGGTGACATACTCATAGATGTGTAGTTTACATTAAATACTTTTTTAGAACTATCCCACATTTAAGTTCACCACTTCTAAAAGAAATTCTTCTCTCATTTTCCCAAAATGATGATCAACTTCAAAAATAGTTTGAAAAATATGATATTTTCAATGCACAGTAAACTCTCAATTATGCAGGAGAAAATGTCATCCTTTTCAAAAATAAAACAAAGAACAAAAAAAAAAAAAAAACCATCTGAAATGCTGCTGGGCAGAATATCTTTCCATCATTAAATGTAAAATTATGTATTTGAATGTCAATACAGAAAAATGTTGAAATATTCAACTTCTTAAACAACACAAAATTGAAAAGTGGATAACATATTTTATCTATGAATCAGCTAAAAGATTTTAAAAATTAAGTAAATATTTACACAAGAAAACTTATCAAGTTAAAAAGAACTAAAAGCTGAATTTTATAATTGTTTTTTAATTTTCTCACAATGCTCTTTCAGCTAGGATTGAAACAAGCTGTATTTTCTTCCTTTTTGGATATATCATCGAGGAAAATTTATTTCAATCGTTATCTTATCTTTACATGCTCCTACTTTCTATGATTTATTTACAGGTGAATCATTTCTTCTAGACATTTCTAACTTATTAATCAACTAGTCTAAATTATTTATTATTATTATTAATTAATCAACATTTTTCTGCCTTGGTAAATTCTTAGAATCAATTATTTCTGCATTATCTAAATATAATCTGGTAAAAATCAGATATTTTTTGTCATTTAGGATTTAATATTAACTGGATTATCAGTTGTCTTATATGTAGCTTTAACTATTCTCTTAAATATTTTTGGAAAGTTATTACTTCAAATATAACATGATTTATCTGATGACTTATAAAATGACAGAATTGCACTATACAATATAAATTTACATTAACTATCTTAACACATCATCTAATTCAAGCTATTACATTTTTTACACAGTGCAAATATTGAAAAATTTTGCTGTAAAAAATTAATATAAAAATTAGATAGCATTTAATAAATTTCTGCATTGGATAGTAGTTTATTCAATTGCAAAATTGACTAAATCAGATTAAAAAGTTAATTAAAGGCTTGATCTAGATAAATTTCATATATTAATAAAAAACTCTCAATATTTGCATAACTTTCAAAATTGATAGATCTGTCAATAAAGTAGTACTAATTTTAACAGATGTAATACTTTAAGAAATTAATGATATTATAAATCATAATTCAAAATTTTCTTTGTAAATTGTTAAATTTTAAATATGCTTAGAAATAGATTTTATCTAGAAAAAACTTTTTATATATTTCTATGTGAACTATTCATAATAAACAATCTTTTTTTTTTTTATTTTTGCAAAATAAAAAAAATGAGATTATATTTAAACAGTGATTTCAAAACTAGGTTATAGACAGGATTCAAATAAATGGTTTTGATAACAAAAATGATAATGTATGTTAATATAAAACTAGAAAATATAAGTTGAAAATTTAATATAAGTAAATATTCTTAAATTTTATTAACATGTTTCATTTAAAAATGTATTAATTCACTAACAAAAATATAAATTAAGGTACTTAGTACAATAATATACAAAGCTAAGAAAATAATTCAAGATATTTTTATGTAATGCATAAAATTATAATTTATATATTTCAATATATAATGATAATTGTAAACATTTAACAATTTTATTCTATTTACTTTATTTGTATTCATAAACTCTATTTTTCAAGTATATTTTGATTAATAATCATGCAGAAAATTAAGCATTTATAATGATATTAATATATTTCCTACAGGATATTTGTTCTGAGTCTAAGTATACTGTATTTTTATTATTATTCAAAAAATTATTTAGTTTTTAATACATTATATAGAAATTTTATGCAGGCTCTACTTTTAAAAATCCCAATAAGAAAATCAAACATAATCTGAGACATAAAATAGGAAAAATCATAGTATAATGCCTATTGGTGGCTTGATAGAACAATTTAATTTAATTTTAAATTGAATTGAGAAAATTATTAAGGAAAATATTAAAATTATAAAATTAATTGAGGAATAAATTTATAAACAATGTATAAAACAGAAAGTTATTACATCAGGAATGAGTCTTTAATGCAAATTATTTCTTAAATAATAATTTTTTTATATATATAACAGTTGTGTTTATATAGAATCAGTTATATAGATCAGTTATCTGTTCTACTTGGGTTACTATTATTTTTATTTTTTAACAGGATGTAGACTTTCAAGCAAATTATGCTATGACTTTCACAGCTTAACAGAGTTGTATGTAATTTAAAAATTTTTTGTAACACATTCCAGTGTTATTGTTGTTGTCGTTGTTAATTTAAAAATTGTTAAATTAATGATAAGAATTACACTTTAAATAAAGAGTCAAAGAAATAAAATGATTTTAAATTTATCATTATATAGAAATGCAGTAATGAATTTAAACTACCATAGTTTGTTTTTAATACATGTCAACAGTAGTGTTGCTTCAGTATACATTATTAGTGTTCAGTATATATATTAGTGAATGCTTTCAGTATTCTACTATAAAATTCTCTATAGCCTCAATATTTATAAATTACAATTACCAAACACATTTACAATATTTTCATCTACATTAATAATGATGAATGGATGAGTTGGTCTATTAGTTACCAATAGATTTTTGTTTTTTTAAAAGTAATAGTAATGACAAAACAAAATTTTGATATTGTTTTGAAATATCTATTTTTAAAAATCTAATTCTTAAAACTTAAAAATAAAAATAAAAAAAATATATATATTATCATTCTGTGAAAATTTATTTATTAGAACTTAATAATAAACTGACCTTTCATTATGACCAACAATTGAAAAATTTTAGGTTAATAATTTTTGAAAAAAATTGTTTTTTTTTTTTTTTCTAAAAATCATCGGNTTTCAAAAATCATCTTGAATTCCAAAACTTCTACTAAAAATCTTCTATAGAAGCCTGATGCTGGCCTCTGAACATGGCTGAAAACATTTGATTTTTGTTTATATTGACAGCATTGCTAGAAATATAATGAAAGGTCAGTTTATCGTCAAATTGTACAGCACTTCCAGCTTTGAAGAATAATAATAACATATTAATTAATAAATATTGCAAAATAGTATATTTACATATACGAAAAAATATATCTTACATAAAATGCAGTTTAAATTACATAGTTGATAATTTAGAATATAAATTTAAATAAAATTGCAAATTTCATGCTAAATAAAAAATAAATAATTAAATTCAACATAATCAAGTTATAATAATAATGATAAAAAAATTAGTAAGTACAGACTTTAACAGCTCAATCATTACTATAACTAAATGGAAAGTAAATTATTTTATATATTCTAGAAACCTGGATTAAAATTATTTTAATTAGAATAATTACTTTCAGATATCCAATAATTCATCTTCAGATCCTATATAAATAATAATGTTTTAATTAAAAATAGAATATTAAACAGCTCTCAAGTAAAAACAAGTAACTAGTATAAAAATTTATATAAATAAATGTCCACAATATATTTAATATTTTAGAATCTACAACCATAAAAATTTTTGACTTAGCAATATAATAATCTGAACTATCATTCAAGAAGACATTTGAATAAGTAAAAGAAATTTTACTTATTACAATAAAATTCAGTGCAAAGTTCAAATGTTATCTGTTTAATTTATAATTTTTTACACATCTTAAAATAAATAAAGCTTATCTGACATCTGTAGAGTATGTTGATTTACTCCATAATATTTAATTAAAGATTAGTTAATAAATTGTATGTTTAAATTTGCAGATAATTTATTTTGAAGAAGCCACAATTTGTTTTATTTATATACACAGTGTATCAGAATGACATTTTAAAAATTTGGGGGATTGTAGAGGATGAACTTTTGAATGTTTTGATATAAAGAACCTATAGCCAGAAATGTGATATAAAGTTTCTACAAGCACTTTGCACGTTCTATGCGGTCAGAATGCTGAATGAAACAGCAGAATACAGTATTTATGACAAGTTTTATTGACAAAACAGTAGAGTACAATCAAACTGTACTGTACATCGAATCAGTGGTTGCACTACTTTAGAGTAAATGTTCAATATGACGACCACCAACTTCTTTACATAATGTGCAATGACAAACCATGTTTTGTCCGACCCTCTGTAAGATGCTACGCTCCCCTCTGATGGTATTAAATGCTGTAAAGATGTGCTCTATAAGCTCATGAACTCTTCCTACAGGTGTTGCGTACACAAGGGACTCACATTGACTAGTTGTGTGTTTACAGCACAGCACCAGTGGATGCAAGAGGTAACCTGAAGGACAACAAGCACTAAGTACACAACGTCCTGTACACAGGCTCAGTTAGACCACTGTAGTTGTGTGTTTACAGTCTTCCATTCGCAGCAATGATATGACGTCAATGGACAGAAGGGTAGCTACTAAACTGAAGGGCGGTCAAGCACTTACTACTGCTGTAGACACTTTAGTTCAAATTTCTGGCTATAGGTTCCTTATATCAAAACGTTCAAAAATTCATCCTCTACAATCCCCAAATTTTTAAAACATTATTCTGATACACCTTGTATACTTCTCTGCCTTCATATATTGCTGTAAAGGCAGCACCAATGCATCCGTCTACCTTCGAGCCATCTGTGAAGATTTCTATTTTGCCTTCTTCCTCATCATCTGCTATTATTATGGCTTTATGTTTGTATGTCATCAATAACATTACTGAGCTTGGTTTTATGTCTATATTCGCCTCTGTGTATTCTCTTCCTGCTGTCTGAATATTACACCCCTTTCTACAGAAGTAGAGGGTTGCCTTTTAGTATTAGATCAATTGGTGGTATACTGATGCACTTCAGATGGTGGTAGACCTGAAGTGCATCAGTGGATGTAGTTTGAAATGCTTTTGTTAATTGTAGAAGCACACATCTTTGTTCACTATGAAGTTTCTTTTGTATTACTTTCTTTTCAGTTGCAGGATACCAGGCAGCTGTTGTATAAGTCAGTCTCGGTATGAACGCTCCCTTATATATAATTTCCATGGACTCTCTGCTCAGGCCCAAGTAGACTTGGCTACCCTTGCAAGGGAATTAAACATATTTACACATCTATTTCTTACAGTTATGATATGAGGGAGCCAAGTTAGTCTATTGTCTAACATCACCACAAGGTATTGGAGCTGTTTTTCAACCTTGATGTTTTCATTACCCATCTTGATCGTTTGGGTTCTTTTATAGAGATCAAGTGTTTAGNCCATTCCAAAAGATGCGTTCCAGCAGTGTTTCCAGCAATGGCAGGAACGCTGGGAGAAGTGTATACATTACCAAGGAGACTACTTTGAAGGGGATTAGGGTTTTGTACCTCAAAGTCAATAAATTTATTTTTGCCGACCAAAGGTCCGATACTTTTTGAACAGACCTTGTATAATTTAATATTTAGATATAAAAATAATAAAGGTTAATATGGTATGTAATACAACAAATATAATTTTGCAAATAAATTTCAGATTAATATGCAAAATTAATTAAAAACAAAATAGACACTTGTGTCCAAAATTAAAGTAACACACACTAATGCACATGACAAAAATGCACAAATGAACAGCCCTCCACTTCAATAAGTCATCCAAATGTTTTCTCTGAGAGATGTCTAATAAGCTACTGATGTATCATGAACACTTCTTCACTGTTAGTGGTCCTAGCAGATGAACGTTTGTCAAGAAATGATTTTGTTGTATATACAGTGCATTACATGTCACATGAACACACTGCTAATGTGTCTCACTTGCATGATAGTATGGCACTTTGTTAATTTACATATGAAAAGTTTCAGCTACTCGTGTTTCATGGTGTTGATTTACACAAGTTTTGTATTTATTGCTTTAATTTTGGACACTAGTATGTACACTACAGATTGTAACTAAAGCCCATTAATCAGATAAAGCTAGGAATAACCAAATAATGCTAACTTTATCCAAGTCTTTTGGGTAAAGCAAATAACAATCCATTAATTTTAAACTTTATCCATATAAAGTGTGTTTTATCTACATCACATGTGGATAAAGCTGATTAAAGCTGACATTATCCAAAAAGTGAATAAATGGAGCAAGAACAAAATGTAAAATTTGGGTTTACCTGAATAATATGGAGTCTGTCTACTATTGTTTGAATAGAGATAAATATAAGAGAGTTTTTTTATATGCATAAATATTTTGTTTTTTTAATACCATGTGCAAAATGGGAATGGGCCATTTTGCTAATTGGAATTTTGGAATTGCTAAAATTGGCAATTTATCGCCAAATTTCATGTCAATTGGTGATAAGGCAACAAATTTTTCAATTTGCTATTTTTTTTTCAAGCCTATGATAAATTTCTTAAAAACATTTGCAAACTACAAGACTACATTATATTAATAAATGCAATTAAAGATAGATATATAATGATTAAAAATAGATGTGTGTGTGAAAGAGCTTTTAAGACAAGATAACGTAAAAATACTGTATTGTAATACTATGTTTATTTGAGGCTAACAAGTAAGTGCCATAAAAATGCAACAAAATTAAAGCTTCGTCAGAGGATCTTTTATTACTTTTAATTTTATTTATGACTATGATCAACCTTCTGGTGTTTGCTATTGATATTTAAAAATCTATGTACATATTGGTATTCTGTAAATCTAAGTACTACTTTTTTGTTAATTTAAACATACTTCTGTGACAATTACTTGTCATTTTTATACATAAAATTAAATTATCTGTTACTAAGCCTTTGTTTATAAGCTTCTAGTATGTTTCATTACCCGTTATTGCCTGAAGGGGGCAACAAATCCAGGAACAACAGTGGGAAGCAGGAGAGAATATATACTAACTCGTGGTTGAGAGAGTGATCCTCTTTTATTTTTGGTGCTGTAAAAAATGTGATGTAAAATGTTCCCGTTTACATGGTCTAAAAACAGTACACAGATCCTTTAATCAATTAATTAAAACATAACAACACAATTTGAACTTTAATTTCTCAAACAAGCAAGTAACACTCTGGCACTCCACAAGCAAGCAACACTCAGGCATCCGACAATTAATTTATAATCACAACACTGGTTCTTGACCAGTCACACAGCTACCCACTCTGGTCAGCACTGACTTGACACACCAAAAGGAAGCACACAATTTCTCTCTGGGCAGGACAATCTCACCCCACATTCTTAGGGATACAATTACCTGACATGGGTGACCATTCTGTGGACTGTACATCAACGCTCAATAACATACACACACCTGACACGTGTTACAATTTTGTTTAATTGTATATTGGACTTAACAGTTGCCATTATGGGAAGAACATGAAGGCAACTAGTGACGATATGACTGTGCAAAGGAAGAGTTACAAGAGTCAATGGACTGCTCCAATTGACAAGATGACCAGGTGAAGACAGCACTTATGTGACATGAAAATTTAAGGAACTTCTCCCATTATAGTGTCTCCTCTCTCCTGTATTTTTCAATTTTCTACTGATGGTAAGATTGCCTTGTAAGAAAATTTACAGATTAGACTAATACATAATTGTCACAAAAAGATGAAACAATTGATTGTAACGGGAACTTAAAGCATTGTAATATTTGAATACCCTCTGATTATTGAGTGTATCTGATACTTAGAATTGAGAAAATAAAAACTTACACATGAACCATTTTTAGCTTTAAATCTACAATTTGTTTTTAGCTAAATCTGATGATATTTTGATGAAAAAACAACAGTTTTTTGTTTACTTCAATTTTTTTTTGCAATAAAGAAATATTAAATTTTAGTTGATTTAAGAAAACAAAATTTCAAATAATAATAGATAGCCTTTGCTTTATTCCAGTAGTACATTACAAATGACAAACTTTTCAAACAGCTTGACTGTCTTGCTTCAGGTCAGTTATATGTGTTCCATTTAGAATGCTCATTTTATAGCTTTCTACATTTTAACTCAATTCAAAATTTAAATTATTTTTGAAATTAATACAATTTTAATTTATCAAATTAAACTTTACAACTAATATATTCTACATAATTTTATATTCATACCCCATCAATAGAGTTGTTATAAACTATTTTCCCTTGGATTATCATAAAAAGCTTTCCTAGCACTTGATAATGAATCTCCTTTATATTAATGTACTCCTTTTTGAAGGCTGTTTTAAATATCTGTAATATCTTCAAAAATTTAGTTTCTTTATTAAAACACTTCTTAATCAATGCTGCTTGCTCTTGTTTAGCTTTAATTCCTGGTTTAGAGGCATAAATAGAAAGCATAGTTGTTTGTTTTCCTTTCTCAATATCATATCTGTGTTCTTTAATCCTGCTGTTAAAAGCCCTGTTTGTAGCTCCTATGTATATTAAATCCTTTCCAAATATCTCATCTGTTATTGGT